CGGGGCACAGGGCGGGACGCTGAGGGGGGGGGAGCGGGGCTGCCCCTGTGCGCGGCACCTTTGCCCGCCGGAGCTGCCGCGGGGGCGCCCACCCGCTGCCCGCACCGTTGGTCCTGGTCAAGGAACGCGGGCAAAAAGAGCGGCGGGCACCAGGCGTGAAATACTCTAGGGGCTAAAGCGACAGGATCGCAAGGCTACTGCAGAACACCGCCCTAAAAGCTCGCCCGTGAAGGTTCTCAAGGCCGGTGTGGTGGTGGGCAAGTACAGGTCCCTCTCCCCCACCAGCGCACGGCATCTACACGGATGCTGCCTGAAACCGGCAGCTGCTACTGCTGGCTGGGAACCGAGTCTTGCCTCCACAGCCGGCAGAGTTGGAAACTAGGAATGAAGGAAGAAGGAAAAAGAGCTCAAAACTATTTCATAATACTTCTTTTTTTCCCCTTCTTCTTCTGCTAGAGAGGGAATGTTTTCCTCCTTCTGGTGGTTCTTTGCTTTTCACTGAAGGCACTAGGTACTCAGCTTGTCTCCGAGTGCTTTTCAGAAAGCAGCCTGTCTCCGTGGGACAAGCCACGGTACCGGCTTTTCCAGACCTACGGCTTGGATAGATTCCAGAGTCGTGAATCTAGCTCTTCGGGTCTCCTAACAAAACTCGGGGACTAAGTGAAAGAGACTTTCTGTGGTTTAGGAACAAATCCTTGACATTTTTCTACTTGGTCCAGCCATACAAAATAAAAATAATTATGTTTTCCTAATACTTTAAAATTAGTTTTTGACTGTCATTTGCATTTCTTCCAGGCTCTTTGCACATTCTTTGGGTGTAGGGCAAGTGATGCTTCTGATAGGATTTTAATTTGATTTGACACTTTTTCACTTATCCTCAGAAAGAAGTAACCGCTCTCTGAATTAACCCCAGGAATAAATTCCCAATTCCTTTTACCACACAACACAATCTGTATTAGCCTTGATAGCCTAAGGGTATGAACTAGTGCATCTATTTCTCTTCAGCTTTCCCTCCACTTACTTGGAAGCACAGAGGGAGACACAAAGCGCCCTCCTGCAGCTGCTCAGTCTGTGTATGACCCGCACTTCTGAGACTTTTCAGCTAGTGCTCAGGAAGCCAGGGAGAGCAAGAGCACCACTTGAAATAACAGACCGATAGTTGTTGTTCATAAGGCTGAAAGGGATCAAGTCCTTTTTTTTTTTTGGCAAAGTCGAATAATGCTGTGTCTCCAGAGTTTGCACAGAATAGCAGCCTTACTGGTGCTTCTCACACGACATTCGCTAACCTAATGTCTGCAGCCAGTCAAGCCCTCTAGAATGAACAAGGAATATGCTTTGTGGGCACACAGGGTTGGCATTGGGCATGGCTCCAGTTCCGTTTGGGAACTGTTTCCTCAATACAGTAACATTGTCAAGTATTTAATAGTGTTCACCACTCGCGGACAAACTCTGCAGCCGTGGTCTCACAGAGCTTCATTGCCGGCACCCAGACAGCTGACACACAAGTACAGGCAAACTGACCTCGCCACTCACCTACTTCATCTGAGATGCATCATGTATAACCCTAAATGGTTTTACTGACATAATGGGGTCTCCTCTCCCAGTACTGACAAGACAGAGTTATCTGCTTGTGCAGATTCAGTTTGCAGAAGCCCTGGAGCCTCTGCTGCTCCGTCCCGTGCAGGGGTGTGCGCAGAGCCCTGGGAGAGCTCCACGCTCTCCATGCTCATCGGGGCTTGTTGTGTAGAACCAGCCTCACAAACTTGGTGTGAGATAGAACTCCTAAAAGTGATTCAATGCCACTGCTGATCCTCAAGGACACTTGTGCCTTGCACCTTCTTCCAGACACGGCTCTGCAGCTGGTCCTTGGGGGTTAGCCACTTCAGGATCCTTCATAACTTAAGCAACCATACCTACACTGATGGCTCAGTTCTGCCAGGATTTTTCAACATACTTAGCTAAGACAAGTATCTAGTCTCAAGAAAAATATATTCTTTAACACTTTGTACCATGCTTCGGATGTAAAACAGGGTCTGCTAAAATGTTCACAATCCTTCTGCTGCTTAGATAGATTGCCAAAGTCATCACACCAGGTTTTATGATGGTGAGATCCCACCTGTCTGTGTTAGTGATGATTTGGGAGCAGGATAAATCAACAGTAGGAAATGTTACATTATTGACACTTTGTGGGGTGACAAGCCACAGCCAAAAATATTTCCAAGGCATCTTATGCCCTATATTTGCTTGTGGATCCTTATGTGAGAGTTGTGTTAATGTCAACAGCTAGTACAAATCACCTTATCTATATAAATGCTTTGCTATGGCTGGAATAGAAGTGTGAAATACACCGACCTGGTGTGCATTTTAGGTTGCTGCACAAGAGACCACACTGAAGTTTCTTTTACTCTGTCAGCAGAGTTTGAAGGTTTTAACAGACTGCGTACTCCCCTGTAAGAAGCCTGTGTGACGAAAGATGTTTCTGGAGATTCCTCTCTGGACACCCAGGGACTCATTCTTGTTTACACTAAACTCTTTATGCCACCTGAGGAGTGTAAGTAGGCACATTTACATTCTCTGTTCAAGGCCTGCTTGAAAGATGAAAATGCTGTGGCAAGACATCCCTGTGTAATAAGTAATCCTTGCTTCCAAAGGCCATCCAGGGTGAATGTGGGACTACTGTAACCTTTAGCCTTTGAATACAGGACACAAAAAACTGCTTTTGACTACCTTTTCCCCCTGTTATATCCCTGCTCCACATGCCCTTGGACATTCAAAGAACGAGGCTCTCAGCCTCCTTCAGCCTTCATTCAGTTCTTGAAAAAAAAATTCATTTGTTCAGGATAAAAAAAAAAGGCACCACAGGATGGCCACCAGGCTTCTGTGGTAGAAAAGTCTGACAAAGAGGTTTTCTCACTGTGGATTCCTCATAATCAGTGTCAGGAACTGTTGAGCATCTAATCACTGCAGTCAGTCACTAAGGGCTTAGTACCCTGGTTATGGAAATGCTGTGAAACTGGTGAAGCTAATGTTTGAAGTCAGGTTTATCTATCCTTCTGCTGTGTCCCTCTGTGGATCTAACACAGGAGGGGCATTCTTGCTACACCAATTCAATTAAACCTACCCTTTCACCATCTTTGCAGTACAATAGCCAGGAATAATGTATTACTCTTTAGAGTTTTAATCAGTAGTTAGGGGGATACTATGCTACAAGACCTTTAGATAATTTAGTGATGACTGCATTATGCAAACATTTCTGTGTCCAGGGCAACAAAGACCCTGGAACTGCAGAGCATCTTGTACCCATGTGTGCAACAAAGGTGCAACTCAGTGACACCAGGGCCTAACTCCCCTGGTACAAAGCAGATGTAGGCACTCAAAGGCCTTTCTGGTATTGAATCCCATTGAAAGTCAACATGATTCAGGGTCCTAACTCACTTGGGCATTCTGGCAATCTCTTAGCATTCTGAAACATACAGGAGGATACTTTTGAATTAAGGAAATTGAGAATAATATTCAGCTGAAAGTAGAAGATATTTCCTCTATTTATGGACAGCAGACTAGGGTATTCTCAGCACATTTTAACCTTGTGTGAAGCCCTGCTGTGAATCTCTGTGCAGCTTTGATCTCAGTGTAATACAGAAATGACCAGATTTTAGGAACTATTGTGTAAGATTGGATGATGTTGCTTCAGGGCTGAGTGTGATTGGGTTTTGGTGCTGCAGAAAAACCTAATGTCAAACAGGGCAGTAGAATGTCCTTAACTAAAATCGTTTCACGTGTCCTCTAGCTGTCTAAGAGATTTGCTGATCCCCATAATAAAAATAAACTATCTCGGTGCTGTCAGTGAGTCACAGAAAATCACTGGGTTTACTCTATTGATGGGCAGGTCTTTAGAAATCCCAGTCTAAACAAAAGAGATAAATGCCTTATGGAGAAGATGCCTGATTATGCAGCTGCACAAGCAAGTGGTCACAGAAAGGCCCCAGGTACAAAGAAGCTGTATGAATCCAGTCTTGTGCTGCGTAAATGCCATGTGAAGGTCTTTGCTGGAACTGCGGACCAGATGACAGGCAAGGTGCAAGGTAATAAAGGCAGGAGCAGGGAAGACGTATTTATACCGTATCCCTTCTAAGAGCGTGGCATACCTTAGGCAAAGTTTAGGACCATGTTCAGCAGACTCCCTGCCACTGTAAAAGATCAACCAAAATATTGCCAGGATAGGCTAACATTGGAGCACAAGTCATGTTAAGGTCTAATTCTGGTATTTCTTGCTAATTGGTGAAAATGAAGTTGTCTGTGATAATGCATTTCATTCTTGTAGACTCTCTCTTAGGGTTACAAAGTGGTGTGACATGAGATTAGGAGAGTCCTGGAAAGTAAATACCTGCTAATACCTCATTACGAACTATTAGACCTTTATTCGGATTGCTTTAAGCTGAGAGGACAGCTGGTCTACAATGGTTTAAAGAAGGAAGCAAATACTACTAAATATCTCCAGGGTCTTCTCTGCTTCTTAAAGGTGTTTGGGGCGTTGTTATCTGTTGTCTAATATTACTATATGTACCATTTAGAGGACTCAAGTTAGAGGCTCTCCTTAAAGAATTAGCCTGTGCTAAAGCCAACCACCTCCCTGGCTCCCAGTTCTATTTACGCAGTGATACAGTTATTTTAACTTTGT